CTTCAGAGAGAGCCACCCCCTCCCTCGTTCGCGAGCCTCTGCTGTGTCTGGGGTAAGGGCCACTTCCCAGAGCTGCCAGGGGCCAAGACTTCCAAGGCCAGGGCACACTACTCACTACTCGGGACCTGGGGCGCAGCAGTCCCCTGATGTGACAGACACCGGAAGGCTCCCTCCCCAAGGACGCTGCAGACCGGAGCTGCCCCGTTCTGTGCTTGGTGAGTTTTGCAAGGGGCAGTGCTGGTGCACACGTGTGATTCGTTAGGGCTGAGCTCAGCTTTTTCTTACGCAAAGGGCTTGCGGATCCAGGGCTCTGGGTTGGAGGTGGAAAAAGCATTCAGCTGGAACTCGGTCCGTGGCGCTCCGTGCCTCTGGTCCCGGCTTGGAACAGCGTTGATTTGGGAACGCGGTGCACCGGACTGCTTCCTGGCAGATGGCCTTCTCCAATTATGTTTGCTTAGTCGGTTGTCAAATTACTTTTTGAACCCTACGCTGACCCAGAAAGTATGCAGAGCGGGGCGGAGAGAAACCCGTCTAAGAAAAGCAAACTGGCGCTGGAGGAAAGAGGGTTGTGACTGGAGTTTTGCAATTTCCCCTAAATAATAATGTGCGTGGATGTTGATCCTCCGTTCACCCCACAAGCTTCTTTAAAACACTGGTCCCGGCGCACACTTTAAATCATTTTATTTCCTTAATGAAGGACGTTCAAGGAGAGACATTAGAGGTTGTAGGAATGGATTTGCGCAAATAATAATAGTTCTCATGACGAATATATGGTTTGGGTCGCAGAAGTAGCAGCTTTCCATTCTGCAGCGCAGCAGTCTGAATGGGGTAATTCAGGGAAGCGAGTATTTTCCATTTTAGAATCTATGGAAAATATTTCTGCGCAGAATTGAATATTTAAATGGGTCAGCAGGCAGAATGTGGAACCTTTCAAGGGAGTGCACTATACAATTCATGACTTGCATGAGGAAATATTCACTAATTGCCTTTCAGCCACTCACTGAATCAGAAGAAGCACAAATAAGTAAAGATGAGACTTAAATTAAAGGGACTCGGTGCCTGGTTTCATGAGTTACAGTGTGTATGTACCCAAGTGATATTAAAAGTTCAGGCAACACAAATATAATCTGGTTAACTTCTACCCCTCCAAGTGCAGATTAATTCAGTTTTATGATTTAATGTTTGAAATACAAAAGAACTGTGATAATTTCAAGCCTCTATGGTACAGCATCCAGAAATCTTCCTGCCTCTCCCTCCAACACTGAAATATCAAATGGGGAGGTCAACTAATTACCAAAGATTTTGAGTTTAGCTACTGCTTTAATATATTTCTAATAAATTGAAGTTTTTGCCTGGAAAACGATTCCACCCTAAATGCTCCAGGATGTAGTACTCTGTCAAAATTCCATCTCCCCATTTTGAAGTCAGTTACTTTTCCTTTTCAACCTTAAGATCGCCTATCAAATGAGGGTGAAGTCTCAGAGGGCTTCCTGGGGGCTTGAATAAGGCTACTGCAGAGAAAGCATCTGCCGAGAGGCCAGGACACAATACCTGCCGAATAGATGGTTTTACATTTTACACATATGTCACACACACATACCCATGAGGTTCACCCTCCTCTTTCTTCAGTCATTATCTGGCCCTACCCGCCGGATGCTGCAGGCCCAGCCCTCCACTGTACCCTACGAGTGTCAGCAGCTCTCCTAACATGCCTGGGAAGAAGAGATGGATAGTGGCCAATAGTGACATTGGCTAACATGAGTCCATGATATTCTTCTCCACCATCATTACTAAAGACACTCATGCTGCCTTTTATTCTGGGGATCAGTAATCAGGCAGATGAATCGGTCTTCTCAGGCACATATTATCAGCTTGCACTTTTAATTGTGCAAACGGTATCCAAGAGGTTTCTGCCCTCACCATTCTGGGAGTCCCCTCCAAAGGCTCTGACTGGAATTAGTTGCAATGAACATTTGAGGGATTTCCGCACTCTCCTCAGAGCTAGACTATTTCACATGTTCACCAGGCTGGTAAAGCTAGTTGTGTGGCAAGCTCCCCACTAACCAGCAGATGAGATTTACACAAACTACACCCACCTGCTCAGAGCCTCCTCCATCCCCTGCCTGCCTGATCAGGGCCATGCAACCAGTGCTCCTTTCTGGCTCTAAATTACTTTTACTTCCAAGATCGATGCATAAACCTAACTTTCAAATCTACTTTCTTGATTCCAAACTCTGCTGGAAAAGAAACTAGGGGACAAACGGGAGCTTATAAAATTCCAGGAGAGAGAAAATAAAAAAGACAAATTCCACACCCATCACCAAAGTAAGGAAATCTTCAAAACAATTTAGTTGTGCCAAACAGAAATTTCAGATAAAAGCCCTACATCTGAGGAGGAAAACTATGGTTGGTTATCAGGAAGGAAAACACAGACGCACAAAAACATTGGGCAATGGCATAAAATGAAATGAAAACTATCCCATCAGATAGGAAGCTGCCAAATTTCAGGAGCTGTTTTACAGGACAGGCAAAGCTGATCCCTCCCACCAAAACCGATCTGATATTTCACAAACAAAACTGTAATTGTAAGGAGAGACAAAGCACTAATTAAGTATAGAATAAATATTTTCATTTTATGGGTATTTGCCAAAGAAATCCCACTGACCACAAAAATATGTACTTTCTATAGCTAGGTGTATGTATTATTTTCTTTTCTTCCATAAAACAGTAGCTTATGAACAAAATAAATTGTCATGGTATTTTAACTGGGTCCAAGTCTTCATCAGGTGGATGAAACTGAAAAACATTTCAGCAAATTCTACACATGTGCAAGCTTATGAATTCTAAAAAGGAATTTACCTTTACATATTGGTGATTACTGATTTTTTTTCTTTTTAAATTCTCATCATATTTGCCCCAAGAAAGCTTTACAAATCACACAAAAGTTAAATTTCCCATCGCACCATGATTTTGTTTGGGTTACCATTTCCATTTTCAGAGCCTAAGAAAGAGAGCTGGGAGAATAGAAATGACCACCTCCCTGCACGGATACCCAAATAAAGCCTCAGCAACACCCAGGTTTTTCCAGTTCCTCCACACGCTCCCAGATGCCTCTGCCCTGCACAGTTCAGCCTGATGTCCCTGCTCTCTCGCTGTACCTTCCGCAGGACATCTCTTTAGCCAGAATGTTGGGCAGGTAGAAGAAAAACATACCAAATACAAAGCCCCACTAGTCTGGCGTGTGCTCTGTGTGTGTTGGTGCACATGTGATGGGCCCAGCAGTAGCTGTGACACTAGCATGATGCCAAGTCCAAATACTGGGGCGATGCTCATCATGATGGAAAATGCACCCCTCAAACCAGGATGCTCCAGGCATCTGTGTTTCAGACTTTAAAAAAGTCTTTCAACCAATACAATTTCAAATTCATGAATGAATGTTACTGAGAATGAGTAGAGTTTAGAATACCTACCAACACATAGGGAACTTTGATGATAAAAATGAATCAGAAGGATTCTAATTGTCTCATTCTTAAGATGAATATGTACCGGTGTAGCAGACATAAAGACATCACGTCAAGTATCATCTGTGTGTGATATTATCTGGCCGGTTTCTGTGTATGCTTATTCTGGGAATGGTAGTAGATTTTTGCCTGGATTACCATGAAGATTCAGTGGTTATTATTCACGAAGCACTTAGAGCAATGGATGGCATAAAGAAAGCATTCAATAGATGCAGACTCTTAATTCTGCTACTATAATGTCTGCCAGTCCTACTACTCCTAATACTATTGTAACCTCGCTTCCAATGTCATTAAAACTGGTGCTTCCTTATTTTTTTCTTTAGTCTTACCGAGTTATAATAGACAGATGCAAATTTACATATTTATGGTATTCAGGATGTTTTGACAGATGTGTACATTGTGAAATAATCCCCATAATTGAGTTAATGACTACATTTGCCGCTGCACATTTTTATCATTTTTGTGTATGTAGGGAGAACACTTTAGATGTATCTCTGTGAATCGGCCAGGATATAATACAGTATTAACTGTAATCGCTGCACTCTTAGAACCACAGAATTTATTCATCCCGCATAACTGAAACTTTTTAGTCTTTGACTCTCCACATTTCTCCAACCCCCAGATCCTGGCAACCACCGCTCTCCCTGCCTTTCCGAGTTCAGCTTTTGCAGGTTCCACACAAAAGTGAGATCACACAGCACTTGTGTTCTGTGCCTGGATCGTTTCACTTAGTGAGATGCCCTCTAGACTCATCCAGGTTGTCAGAGATGATCAAATGTCCTTTTCCTGTGTGCCTGAGTGCCACCCCCTGAAGGCACAGATGCCACAGGAGGCAGAAGGATTGGAAGTTTGAGCCCAGCCTAAGAAACTTAGTGACTTAACAAGATCTGCTCTCAAAATGTAAACAAACAAACAAATAAATAAGGGCTGGGTTGTAGCTCAGTGCAAAGGTCCTGAGTTCAATTCCTCATACCACAAATATATATATATATATTGTTCAAACCCGTGTCACTAGAATGTTCCCCTTGTGTTTTCTTCTAGTAGTTTTAGGTTTTCAGGTTTTATAGTCATGTCTTCAGTCCACTTTGAAGTATCTTGTTCATTGTGTGAGAGAAGGCCCAGCGTCATTCTTCTGCACATAGACATCCAGTTTTTCCACCACCATTTGCTGAAGAGATTGTTCTTTCTTTCCAGAGAGTGTTCTTGGAAACTTTGTCAAAGGCCAATTGATCTCAAATGCATGCATTTATGTCTGGTCTTACTATTCTATTCCATGGGTTAATGTGTCTGTTTTTTATGTAATACCATGCTATTTTGATTACTTTTGTGTGCCACCGAGTACTCAACTAAGCACCTTTATACTGTGCTATTTCCCCTGCCCTTTTCCTTTTTCTTACTCTTTTTTTCTTTTTGAGACAAGGACTCACTAAGGAACTAAGTTGTCTGGTTGGACTTGAACTTGCAATCCTCCTGCCTCAGCCTCCCAGAGAGATGAATTACAGGTGTGCACTGCCATCCTTCACTTATACTTCTAAAATCAAGTAGTGTAAGGGCCTGGGATTTGGCTCAGTGGTTCCACCACCTGCCTTGCAAGTGCAAGGCCCAAATTTGATTCCCTACTACCAAACAAAAAAGCATTTTGGCTGGGGATTTGGCTCAGTAGTTCTACTGCCTGCGTTGCAAGCTCAAGGACCTGAGTTCAATCCCCGGTACCAAAAAAAATAAAAATAAAAATAAAATCAAGCAGTGTGATATCTTCAATTTTGGTTTTCATTCTTATGACTACTTTGGGTATTTGGAACTTTTATGGTTCCATACAAATTTCAGAGAGTTTTCTTTTAATTTCTCTAAAAAATGTCATTAGACTTTCATTAGAAATTCCATTGCCTATGTAGATAGCTTTGTGCATTGCAAATATTTTAACAGTATTAATTCTTCCAGTGCATGAACATTGGGCATCATTTCATTGACTCATGTTTTCTTTAATTATTTAATCGTTTGCAGTTCATAGTGTTTAATGTATAAATCTTTCATGTCCTCGTTTAAATGTAATCCTAAATATTTTCATTGCTGGAATTATAAATGGAATTGTTTTTCATATTTTTTTAGAATATCCATTATTACTGTATAGAAATGGTATGTGTACTTGATTTTGATTTCATTATCCTGTACCTATACTAAATTTTTTAGATCTAAAGGTTTTTTTCTGGTGTCTTTAGAATTTCAATATAATATCACATCATCAGAAAAACAGATAATTTTATTTTTTCCTTTCAGAATTGGATGCCTTTTAATTATTTCTCTTGTCTAATTACTGTGTCTAGGATTTCTAATACTGTGCTGAATAGAAGTTGGTAGATGGCACTCTCATCTTACTCCTAATCTTACAGGAGAGGCTTTCTATCTTTTACCAGCCTGACATTAGCTGTGAGCTTAAAATAAATTGCTGTGACCGTCAACCTTACCTGCCACCCTTATTGGCTAAGAAGCTGCTCAGGCTAAGAGAGAGACACGCTGTGGGTGTGACTGGGTGGCCCACAGAGGTGCGATTCTGGGGTCCCTATCTGGTCCCTAGATCCTTCTTCCCTGGTGTTGTTTCCTCACTCTGCTCCCCGCCTGCCACAGGCTGAGAGGTTTTCTTCCACCAGGGCTTTCCACAGTGAGATTTTTGCCTTGGAGTCAGCCAACAATGCACAAAACTCTCTGAAATTGTGAACAAAATTAAGCCACTCCACCTTAGCTTGTGGGTGTTGCATATTTTGTCTCAGCAAGAGCAAAGTAACTGATACAGAAAACTGGTATAGGAAGTGGGGTTGTTGCTGTGACTACACCTAACCATGTGGTTCAAAAACCTTTGGAAGTAGTTTGCTGGAGTCTGGAGATGATTTGTGATGAAGGCTAAAGAAGCCCTAGAATATTATAATTAGAGCCTGATTCTGGCTGGCCCTCAGAAATCTAGAATCCTGGTAGGAGTGCAAAGAGTAAAAACTAAGCTCATGAGGTTTCCACTGAGGACTTCATTGGGAATTGGACTGGAGGCCGTGCATGTTACACTCTGGCAATCAATCCGTCAATCAAAACATGTTGACTTTTTCCCATGTCCTGAGACTTCATTGGTAAGGGCTGCAAAGTAATTGATCTGGCAGAAGAAATTTCAAGGCAGCCACACTATTCATAAGCACCACTGGTTGCTTTTAGCCAGATTTATAGTGAGAATTTGGAACAGAAAACTTTGAAAATTTTAAATTTGGGCTCTATGGGAGCCACATATTAAATTGTGGCTAAACATCTGGCTAATACAATGACATTTATTGCATTTAGGTTTTATATATGTTATATAAATATAATCATATATATTATAATATATTGCAAGAGTTGTTACCATGAAAGGATGATGAATTTTGTCAAATGCTTTTTTCTGCACATATAGTAATTACTAATACTTTATCCTTCATTCTGCTAGTGCAGCTTATCACATTTATTTTTGTGTGTTGAGTTATCCCTGCATCACTTGATTATGGTATGTGATCTTTTAGTATGTTACTGTATTTATGTTTCTAGCAGTTCATTCAGGATTTTCACATCTGTGCTCACCAGAGAAGTGAGCCTACAACTTTGCATTCCTTTACTGGCCTGGTGTAGCTTAGATCTGAGGGTAATACTGACCTCAAATTGAGCTTGAAAGTATTCTATCTTCTTTAAATTTTGGAAGAGTTTGAGAGAAGCATGTGTCCATTCTTGTTTAAATATTTGATAGACTTCTCCAGTGAAGCCATTGGATTCTAGGCGAGAGGTTTGGATTATTGATTCAGTTTCCCCTCTTCCTATTATTCTGTTCCGGCTTTCCACTCTTCATGATTGAGTCATTCTGCCTCACACAGAACGTACATGTATACAAGTATAAATACACACATTTGCCTCTGTTGCTGCTCTTGATGAACTGACTACTTTGTCATTATATAATGGACTTCTGTGTCTCCTGTGACAGTTTTTAGCTTTAAGCCTCTTTTGTCTGATACACAGAGTCACCTCTGCTCTCTCTGGGTACTGTTTTCATAATTTCTTTTACATTTTCTTCCTTTAGCCTCCCTTCCCTTACTTTCAGGCCATGTGTGGTCTTAAAGCTAAGTGAGTTTCTGCTAGGAAAATGCAGTTGGATTTTTTTTCAGTCATTTCACTGGAAGATTTAATGGATCTTTATGTAAAATAAGTGTGGATAGGTCAAACACTTACTTTTGTCATTTTTCTGGGGTTTTTTGTTTTCTTTTGTATTTCCTTTGTTCTATTCCCTGCTTGCTAACATCTTTTGTGATTTGATCGTTTTTTGTAGTGCTATGCTTTTATGTCCCTTTATCTGTAGTGAATCTGTGTAGGATTTTTGTGGGTATATAGTGGTTATCATGATGCTTACATAAAGCATCTTATAGTTATTAAAATATTTTAAACCACTAATATATTAACTGTAGCCACATATTAAAATCTGCATTTTAGCTTCTCCTGCCTCCATATTTTATGATTTTTTTTTTTTTTGCTTCTTTGTTTGTAGTACTGGGGATTGAACCTAGAGCCTTCACATTGAGCTATGTTACTACTAAGTTATTATAATTAGAGCAATTTTAATACTTATATCTTTTAACTTTTACAGTAAAGTCAAAAGGGATTCACACACCACCATTACTATATCAGAGAATTTTGAACTTGATTATAGTTTTATGTTCACAGTGACCTTCTTATGTTTTCACACTGTGAGTGTTCTTTTGCTTGAACTTGAAGAGTTCTCTTCTGCATGTCTTATAAACAGATCTAGTGGTGGTAAACACACACAGATTTTGCTCGTCTTGGAAAGTTTTAATCTCTCCTTCATTTCTGAAGGACAACAACTTTTCAGGTAAAATATTCCAGGTTGGCAGTTTCTCTCCATGCTGAAGAGAGCACCCCAGGCTATCAGGTTTGTACTGAGAAATCTGCTGGTCACTTTTTGGTGTTCCCTTATATGTGAGGAGTTATTTCTCATGTATTTCAGTCCTTTATGTTTAATCTTGTTGAGATTCTTTGGTCTTCATAGATCTAGGTATTTATTTCCCTGTTATTTTCTGACTTTATGTCTTTAAGAAGCTTTCTCTACTTCTTTTGAATTCCAATGTTTATGCTCACTCAGCAACCCATGGGGTACATAGGATTTCTGTACTCTTTTCCATTCTCTTTTATTTTAGTTCAAAGCTCACAGATTCTTTCTTTGGTTTGATCATGTCTGCTTTGAAACTCTCTGTGGAGATGTGTAGGCCAGTCATATGTACCTCAGCTCTGAATTTCTCCTTGGTTCTATTTGTGGTTTCTATCTCTTCACTGAATTTCTCATTTTAGTCACAATTTTTCCTGATATCATTTACCTACATCTGTACTCCCCTGGAGCTCTCTAAGTTTCTGGAAGGTAACTGATCGCACTTTCATGTCAGTTAGTTTGTGCACCGCCATTCCTTTACAGGCAGTAACTGGTTGTTCGTTGTGATGGTGCCATGATCCCTTCATTATTCATTATTCTGATGCCCGTGTCTTGGCGTCTGTGCACTGGAAGAGGTAAACCCCTCTTTAACTCTTTTCATACTGGCTTCAGCCAGGAAGGCCTTTGCTAGTCACCCCACGCAGAGAGCCTCAGTGGGCTGACTACCCAGTACACTGATGGACTTGGTGCTGGAGTCTTTGGGGTAACTGAGATAGAGCATTCTGAAGTTTGCAGAATCTAGAGGTCATATTGTGTGAAGGGCAGCAGGAAAACTGATTATATTTCACTTACATAAGACAGAATAAAGAGGATACATTATTGTTGTCTAACATAACCAAAGGACCATTGTTGTGGGATGAATGGATCCTATATTGTTTAGAAAAACCAGGCCAGGTTTTAAAATATATTGTACATACATATTTTTGTGTTGATATTGTGAGGAATCTTTTGTCTTTGGTTTGTGACAGGAACTTTTACCAAATAAGTACCCTTCAGCTTATAAATAGATCAGGTTTCAGAATGAAAAATGACATGAAGTACCAAAAGAATAATGAAATTAGCAAACTGAGGTATGTATAGAGATAAATAGATAGATGATAGTTTCTTTGTCTTTCTTCATATTTTATCTGGGGACTTATAATCATCTATGCTAACATTTATTTGCTGTGCAACCTGAATCTTCTCCATGTACCTGTCTCAATACAAAATATTGTATTGAGAGAAAACTCACGTAATTGCCTTCCTAGTATACATCTCTACATCTCTACCTCTGTGAACAACTGCATTCTGTTCTGCACTCTTTATCCTCTTTGTTAGACTGTAGAAACTGTTCTTTTGGTATAGATCTGTCAAATTTAGGTTTTAAATAAGGAATTCAATTCTAGACGTGACCATCCAACACTGGCAATGTGATTTTCATAGAACCATGTGGAACCCTCCCTCCTGTCAGATTTTAGATTTCTTGTTGTGTCACAATTGCATAAATGACTGCCCTACTCTCAGTACCACATCCCCCAAAAAGGAGGCAGCAGAAGGGAATAAGGGAAATGGGATGTGGTGGCTAAATCTATTTCCTTTCCAAATTTTTCTCTACCCACTAACTTCCAAATGTTTTCTTTCTCATAATTACATCACGCACTGATCTTAGCTATAGGGGAAGCTCGAAAGGTAGGCACAGTGGTTCATGAACTCAGTTCATTTTGTGATTGTGGGAAAGGTACCTCAGTAGAGTTTGTCACACAATGAGGAGTTCGCGAACAGAAGCAAAATTTTTTCCAAATGCTTCCATTCCATTCAAGAACTGAATTGTTTGTTCATGAACCGAGGTGCGCTCTATTCATTAGTTTCATGCTATGAAGAAAGTCACGTGACAAAGGAATGGTGATCGTGGATTCTAAAAAGAATTTGTCAGTCCACCTTTTTTTAAGAAAGTGCCCTGAGATTCTCAGACAAATACCAAAGCACTTTGTCCCTAGCCTACTTTTTTTTTAACTTTGTTAATCATCTCATTTGTCCTTAACATCAGAACTTCATGGCTATTTGTTCCATACAGTGCAATGTGCATAAAGACTGTTTTTATCATGTAGAGTGCTCAGTTTAACCTTTGTGTGAGGGAGGAAGAGAGAACTCTTCCCGCTTTTCCACAGGTTTGTACCCTACTGTGGTGAAAGTCTGAGTTGAACAACTTTATCAGGACAGGCAAAGCCACTGTGCATGGGCGAGACGTGGCCTACAGGCCACTCCTGTGCATTCTGTAAGACAAAAATAGTTCTGGCATCCTTATGGAATTTGAAAAATAATACCAGAATATGCAGCAGAAACTGTGAGGATATTACAAACCCTAAAAGACATACTATCTGACCTTTTACAGAAAATATTTGGCAAGCTCTGGCATAGATAAAAATGTGTCACACTTCTTTTTATCCTCCTATGCAATATAAGAAAATGTGCCAACCTGCCTCTGCTCCCACCCAGAAAAGCAAATGTTCTATCCATTCCATAGAGAGAAGAGTCTTCTCTCCAACTCCTTGCTCACACTCTTGAGATAAATACTGAGCTAAAATTTCTGGGAAAATCAAAGCATTCTTTTCATTAGGAACCTGACTGGGCATGTTTCTTATTTACCCTTTAGTAACTGCATTTCTGTGGACAGCAGATAAAGTGCTGTCATCAGAGCGAAGGTCTCTGAGTCCATAACCAAACTGCAGCCACAAGCAGATAAGCAAACAGGAGACCAGAGTCCACGTGAGCCATTCCTGCTCGCAGGGGTCAGGCAGAGCCGGCGCCCGTCCCTTCTGACCTTGATTTGTCCCCGCAGGGAGCTGCCGGGCTCTGCCTCTAGAGAGCAACTCATGGATTGTATCATCCACAAGGCCGAAGTCCTGGATGGGGCCCACCTGCTGCAGGTCGTCTGGGACCAGGGCGGGGAATCACTGTACCCAGCCGTATGGCTGAGGGACAACTGCCAGTGCTTCGACTGCTACCTGGACTCTGCAAAGGCCCGGAAACTTCTCCTGGAGGCTCTTGATGTGAACATCACTATCAAAGGCCTGACGTTTGACAGAAAGAAGGTAATTTTCCTCCCCACCATCTCTTCCTGCGCTTTCCAGTTAATAAAGGAACTGGTCTGCGGTCATTTACACAGCTATCTTTTCCCTGGGTCTAGAGGACAGTTTTCGTGGTGTCCTTGCCTGGATTTTTCTTGTCAGAAGGTAAATATCACCAAAGGGGCGTCCTGCCCCCAGTTTGGTACTCGTCCCAAAGGACTTTACACCTGTGTCTTACTGCTGGGAGTCGTTCCTTCTCCCTGGAATGACCGAGGACCAAATGAGTCAAGTGTCTGCTGCGTATTGTAACCCTAAGTGCGCAAAATGATGTGATTCCTTTCATCATTACTACGATCATCATCGTGACTGTGTTTTCTCATCCTGGTCACTACGAGCTCTAACGCTCTTGCCAGGAATCTTAACTGATACCTGACCTCAGTTGTCACAGAAAGTGTGGCGCCACTGGCCCAGAGGACACAGAAGGAGAATCTTGGGCCCAGCCAAGTGCTATCTTTGCAGTTCTAATCTAGCAGCCACAGACTTGAAGGGTACCCACTTGGCTGTGAGAAAAGAAGCAGAAAGGATAACTGGATCCCCGAGTCACCTTAAATAGAATCCAGAAAGGGCAGCAGCAGAGAGCAGGAGCTGCACAGGCACTGACCTTCGCCTTCTGTGTCACCAGGTTTACATCACCTGGCCCCACGAGCATTACAGCGAATTTGAAGCTGAGTGGCTGAAGAGACGATGCTTTTCCCGGCAGGCCAGAGCAAAGCTGCAAGGAGAGTTGTTTTTGCCAGGTAATCCTGCCATGGTCTTCAATGTCTTTTAAATCTCTTATAATAAGGATATTATAAAATATGTATAATGATTTTAATTGTACCTAATTACGGGGTGAGAGTGATAATTTCTGTAATGGTCAGATCGGAGCACTTAACGCTTCCATCACCTCCTTCGCAAGGCCTGTATAGTGAGAAATTTGCTCACACCCTGTGCTGTGGGGAAGAGGAGGTGGTCGTTCATGGGGCGTGTTTAGAGCGTTACCCACACAGAAGTTCTGGGGGAAATGAGGCGCCGTGCAGAGCAGTCTGCACGTTCCGGTGGGGTGGGACGGAAGACACAAAGCTGCCTTGCGACTTTGCCGTTTCACCTTGGACCTGGCACAGACCACAGACACTCTGAAAGCGTCCCCTGCAGAGAGCAGGATACTCCTGAGGCATGCTGCCCTGCCAAACAGTTTGGTCTCAGGCCAGATCAACACAAACCAACAAAGCAGGAAGTCCTGAGCCAGTGTCCACGGAGGGAATTAGCTCAGCGCTAAATCCATGAAATGAGAAACAGGACAAAGATCTGAGAACCTTCAGAGGCAGGGCAGGCAGAGGCTTGGTGCATCCCACACTCACCCACACAGCCCGTGCTGCCTCCTGCAAACACAGCATTGAGTGTGCCTGTGAGTGTGTGTGTGTCTTGTCTGCAGGCCAGGCACTTGGGTCTGGGGATAGTTTAGATAGGTCTCAGTGAGAACCTGTGACCAGAAAACTTCAGAAAAGGGAAAAAAGGTGGATTCATAGAGAAAAGAAGACATTGCTTTTAAGCTGCAACAAAACGAAATAAATACTAGAAACAAATCAGTTTTTTAAAATGGAAAAGCACAGTACTATAGCTCAAACAAAGGCACTGGAGAGGGTGGGAGAAGTGTATGATTTATTTTCTCTTAAAGATTACCTGAAATGATGCCCATTAAAGGCAAACCTCAGCACATGTGATTATTTTTATGGATTTACTAGAAACTTCACTTCTACAAACTCACTAGCAAGGCAAGTTGTTATCATTTCTGCTGTTCCTATTGGACCATGGCTCTGTGAACAAGTGACCAGCACAGCACGGTGAATCCTGTAACACCGACAGCGGGAACTCTGAGCCACATGTGAGATGGAGAAATTCACCACACTCCTTTCATGTTTGAAATTCTTCAACACATGTGGTCACTCTCCATGGCTTTTTTTTTTTTTTTTTTTTTTTTTTAA